GGGCTGAGGGGAAAGGGGCAGTTTACAGCACAGGGAACAGAGAGGTCAGCAAGGGAGCAGATGGCCACGTGCTTTTCTGCCATCCCGCTTTTTGCATGGCAAAGAGAAAGCCAAGCAGCCGGAGCACCCCTGGAATCTACTGTGGGCTGGAGGGAGACGCACCTCTCGGGGTTGGGTTCGTTCTTCCTGTCCCGGGAATGACGAATCATTCTGCATTTCCCAATGACGGCATCCGGACGGGATATGCCCATGCCTTTAAACACCAGCCTGTAAAAACCAGGTACATTACACACCCACGACAAGCGACGGATGTGGGATGCTCTGACACACCTTCCACAAACAACCATTGGTTTTCAGGGTTTTGCCTTTTTTTTTTTTTTAATGTCACCAGTGCATTTATAGGCTTGCCAACACCAAAAGGGGGAAAAGCCCATCCTTTTGCACACGAGCATGTCAACGTGGGAAAAAGAGACATCCCCCTAAAACCACCAAGGATCTCTCAATTTCCCACACTCTCAGCTGCACCTCCAATGCCCCAGGCTGTGGACTGGAATTTGAATGGAAGCACCTAGTTTTTAACCCATCTGGAAATAAGCTAGAAGAGCATCCATTTTTTGGGATGTGAAAACTGCAGTGCTGGTAGAAACTGAAGTGAATGCTTGTGGAGCAGCATGGAGCGGGGGGATATATGGTCAGAGCCACAATGGTCCCAGCCAGGACCCACCAGGCAAGAGCCAGCCTGTCTTTGTTCGCATGCTCTCTGCAAGGCACCTGCAGTTCATGGACACCAATGGTTAAAAAGTAGCTGGTTTCTTCCCCTTTGTGTCTCCCTTTTCATTTCTATATAGCATCTTCTGCTCCTCTAAACCTGAGTGCCCCAAAAAGAGAGGACTACCACCTTGCCCTGAATGCTCTGCCCCACTGGAAGGTCATCCCTTGCTCGGTTTTACAGAAGCGTGTTCAGCTTCTCAGGAAGGTACAAGCACTTTTACGGAGACCCTTTCTGAAGCCCAGAAGAGCTCAGAACACAAACACATGTCCACCCTCTGCCCCAGTCTTCAGGCAGGGTGGGTGGTCCCAGCCTACCTTGTGCAAACACCTTCCACCTCTTCTGCAGTTCTGAGCCTGGCTTGGCTTCCTTACGGGCAGGAAGTGACTGATGGCTCATGGTGTTACTCAGAGCTGCTTACAGCCTCACAAACAAACCTCTCCTGGGACAAAAGGATCCACTACCAGGCTGCAGACCCAGGCAAACCTTGGGCTACATTGGGCTAGGTTGGTCAAGGTCTTCTCCACCCTGCTGCATGCCCCAAATCAAAGCATGGTGCTCCAACCCGTGCACTGGTGTGGATGCTTGCAAAGGCTGTGTGGCAAATGAGTGACGTGTGCAGGGCAGGGGTGGGATTTTTCCAGCCAGACCCACTCCACAGCACACCTTGGGAGCTGCAAAATGGAGTGCCAACACCCAGCAGGAAGATAGATGCTTTTGCTGAACCAGCAGGTTGCCCACGCACCACTTTCATCCCAATTCCAGAAGGGAGGGTCCTGCAGTTGGGGTGGAAAGACACCCTGCACCTCCCCTACCCCAGAGGCACTCTGGGTGCCAAGGTGGGTATTTATTTACCTGTTATAAATGTCGTCATCTTCGCCACCCCAGCCCCAGTAATTGTTTGGGAACCCATTGATCTTTGTGAACTGCTCTTTGCTCAAGGCAGACACGCCTCCGAAATACTGATTGTAAGGCAACCTGGAAGCAGAGGGAAAAGGCCATTAGAGGAAGAGAGGTGCTAGCCAAGAAGCAGTCTGCCCACCTGAAAAGGGGTTGCCACTGCCCTTCTCCCCAGGTGAGCCAGCACCCACCGCAGGGTGCCTCCCTGCAGCCTGGAGCAGCATGTGTTTTGGTGCCCTGGAATACCCGGAGGCAGAGGGAGCTGGTGGGCTCGGTCCCAGATACAGCTGGAAAGTAATTTTGCAACTGGCAACCTCCGTAGCCTTTCACTAAGAAGCAGACTGTTGTCAAAGGACAGGCTGGTGAGAAGCACATCACCTTGCCAAAGGACAGATGGGTGACGTGCATGCCCCAGGAGCGGCAAGAGCTCAGCAAGGCATCGGAGGTGCCACAGAGCCTTCTCTTCCTGCAGCTCCACCAGTCACCTCCATCCTCCCCAGTGCCGCAAAGGAAAGCTCGCAGCCCAAAACTGAGCTGGCAGCACGACCTTGCATGCACAAAGCCAACCAGCTCCTGCTCAAAACCGGGAACAGTTTACCAGGGGATTGGGGACAGATGAAATTCAGTCCCACAGCACCAGGCAAGGGCTCACACAGGGATCACTAGGACCTACTGTAGACCTTGTCTCTACTTCAGCAAGCACAAGAAACCCCTGAGGGTTTCTGCTCTAAGCTTCACCTAACTGCAAGAAAAAACTGCAGCTGCTGAGGTGCTGGTGACAGTCCTGCTCCAAGCAGGGCTTGGGTCTGGAGTGGAGATGTGCAGGGGTCCTGCCACCAACACCTTTATCTTTAGCACTGCTGGCCACCATGGGGTCACAACTGGTTTTCACTTTATAGATGAGCTTTCAAACTTCTCCCTTGGGGATTTGGGATAGGGACGGGAAAAAAAAAAAAAAAAAAAAAAAGGAAAAACAAGACACGTTTTTGTTGCAGGAGCTTGCTGAACCCAAACGTATGCTGGAAGGCATTTCATTTTGTGTTGCTCTCAGATACCAGGGCAGGTGCCTCTATGGCCTGAAATCAAACAGCCAAAAATACATTTTGCTCTGAAAATAGCATCTGATGCAGTCTTTTTAAAGCTGCACGTAATTCTCACTGCATGAGAGTGTCTCACTTTTCAGACTGGGTGGAAACACTAGCTGTCTTACAGCTTCCAGCCTGAAACACAAGAAGGGATCCGCGGGCATCTGCAAAACGATGTACTCTTAGTTTTTCCTCGCTCTACATTTCACTTTCCAGAAACTGTGAATTTTAATAAACTGTTCAGCTGTGTTTCTCCCCCTTTCTCCCTTCCAGCCCATCCTGCTCGCAGCCACCAGCTCCCTGCAGGGATGCACACGCCAAAACAGGCTTTTGCCAGAGACATTTTCCCATGCTTTCAATGGTGGGTGGGGATGTGTAATGCTGCACCTGGCCTGCTAGGGTAACCATCATATTAGGAACAAAATGCCCCTCCAAAAGGTGTCTCACCGAAATCCGAATTTATCCATGGATACAGAGAGGTGCCGTGGCTGGCTGTAACATTTGTAGGTGTTCCTGTCATCCATTGGGATGAGGTCTACGTCACTAAACACAAAGCAATCATAGTCATACTCTTTCAAAGCCTCTGCGAATCCTATATTCAGCAGTTTAGCACGGTTAAATTCTTCCTCTCCATCCTAATTTAAAAACAAATAAAAACAGTTAAGTGACTTAAATTTCACAGTTGACACCAGCAGTTTCTTACCTGTTGCCACGTTGGGTTGGCATGCCTGTGAGGGACTGAGCTCCAGCCTGAACACTGCCCCGGCCTCACCCATGGGACACCCACGGTGAGTCCCCCCCCACTGTGGGACAATGGCATTGGAGCCAGCTGCAAACTACAGGGGCCACCGAAACAGCTGAGGAAAAGCTGCACCCGGCTCAGCTCCCCTCTCTCAGTGGGAGGGTCTGAGAGGATAGATTTGATGCTGAGTGGTCCCCCTGTCCCACCCCACACACAGGCATTTCGGGATTTAATTCTGTGAAAAAGTTTATGGACCGCTTGGGCAAGCAGCTGGAGCTTCTCAGAGCGGTGGAGGAAAGCAAAGAGAGACGAGCTCCTCTGGGAGAAGGGACCCTTGGTACAGAGAGAAACCTTGGCAGCGCTTTAGCTTACAGCCAGGACAAGGATCATGGACCAAAACCTTTCTGTGGCCTGGATTTCAGCACCTTCTTCCTAAGCTGTGCCACATGATGGCTGGGGGAGTGTGGGGTGGCCCCTGCTCAGCAGCACGTGTGAGCACGCACCAGACACGATCTGCAAAGCACAGGGTGGCACCAGGAGCTGAGGTCTGATGCTCTGCCGCTTGCTCCTGCTCCCGTGCCAAACCCTGGGCCACCATGCAGGCATGGGAGCAGGACGCTCCCCAGGAAGGCGCTGCTGGTTCGGCACATGGCCGTGCCACCACCATGTTTACTAGACAGCAGGTCAGTGTGAGCTACAGCTGACACGCTGGCTGCCACGTTGCACAGCCCCTTTGCTGCTCCTCTGCCAGCCAGAGCACGGTGTGACCCATCACCAATGAAACCAGGGAGGGCTGTCACCATGATGGGATGCACCTGCAGAGAGCCGACACTGCAGCACAGCATGTTTGTCCCAGGGCAGGCACAGTTAACGAAGGGACCTGTGGAGAGTCAGGCAGGAAACTCTCCACTCCTCTCCCTGAGCAACCAGGTGCCTGAGGAGAAATCAGTTTGGCCTCTCTCAGGCAGAAATGTTTCAAAAGCTTAGAGCCCAACTAAGGGCTTGCAAATTGCTCGAGTACTTTTGAAAAACAACAGGATCATACCTTTTTTTACAACAGGATCACCCCCGCAAGCCTAAGAATACTGGTGCTTTGAGAGTAAGGATTTCCAGTCCAGGACCCAACTTTGCAGCAGGAGCTTCAAAACAAAACCCTGTGCAGGGGAACAGAGTGGACAGAAGGGAACTCAAAGGGCATCGCTGAAGGAGGCTGGTTTTTTGCCAGCCTGGAAACCAAAA